GATTTTCACCCATCGCTGCAGTGCTAACTCTCGTTATTTGTTGAAGTAGTATGCGTACGTGCAGCACCGTGAGCTTGAATCAAGTTGCACTGTTAACCTCCACTATTTCCATTGCAGCGGAGATTATGCAGCAACTGCGGTGATGGTTTGCACGTGGGAGGAGCTACAGCTCGCCTTATCTTTGCCTCCCCTCGCAGTGGCAGTGTGTGGCGTGCGGGTTGGCGGCATCTCGTTCTTCTGCTTCCTTCCACTCAACCTCCTTACCATGCTGCAACCGATGAAGGAGTTGTGGGCCAGACTGCGCTTACTGTGTCTGGAGGCCGTCTCGCGAGTCCCATTTCCCTAAAGGTGTGTTTTGTGTCCCAATGTGTCACACGTGACATCGCACCGGTCATGAGCATCAGAAATGGCGCGATCATGTGTGTCCTTATTTCCCTCAATTATCTGGGAATGAGACGTCATGCAGAAGACAAATAGAGCCATGAGGGAGAGGCTATCGTTTGCTATTGCTGCGCCCTCTAATGTGGCATCGTCGTAATCCACATGCAACATCCACTTTTGCAGTCCTTTCTGTGGTTTTGTGGATTTCCTTTTGTGCGATTTGTGTAGTGCAATTGGCTTGGTGGCAACACGGTTTCATCAAAATGACTTGCAATTTATGTTTGCGAGGAACCCAACTTACTCAGATTGAAACTACGGCTCACGAGTCAAATGAGGTAGGATTTGTTTCTTACTGTCGATGCAATTCATTGATAATCGCCTGGAACACTACTACCTTCCATTTAAGTAGGGAGATGGCGAACATTGGCAAGATGTGTGGTACAAAACATCGTAATAAAATTAATCGTCATGTATTATTTGCAATGTGGAATGTAATTTTATCAATGACATTCTACGCAACCATTTTTACTTGGAAGGGAGACGTCTTAAACTTAAGCATAGCGTTTGCAAGGGAGAGGGGCATGTATTTGCCGAATTTGTATCATGATAAGAGTTTGTTTTTTTGTATGGTTTAAACAAAGTGTTGGTTTAATGGAGATGAGGTAGACTGAGGAAGGGAACGGCGAAGGAAGTGGGTACTATTGGCAGTAAAATGGCACTAGCCATCTTTGATTTAAGGAAGATATCAACCTCATGTTAGCAGACATCATTCGACTCTTCAGTACCGTTTACTCAACATTAAGCCAGTATTTTTGGGCATCCTTTCTTCACTAACTGTTAAAACCTTCGACTGAAACACTAAAATAATCTAAGTGCCTATATTCAGCTCACTTTTATGAAATTGTTGTCATTAAAAAGCCACGAACGTCTACTTAGGAATGTGTTTGCCATTGTCCAATTCCTGCATGCAGAACGCACAAGGTAACGTAACTGATAGCACTACGTGCTATTTCCTTGGACAGAATTTCCCGACTTCACAAGAGGGACACTGAAAGGGTACATTTGAATTCACACTTTGTGAATAATTAAATGAAAGGCAGCAACTTTGTGCCTTTAGTTAATTCATCAAGCATCGATGAGATATTGTTGGTAGTGGTGTATGGAAAGGTCACAGAGGGGCCACTGTGGAGGCACTTTGTGCGTAGGTCACACGACAATACGTGAGTGATGGTAGGAGAGTCGACGCCTTTGTTCCGCCTATTGAACACAGCCTGTTGTAATTAAGAAAAAGAAAGTTGGGATCCAAAAGGTAACTTTTGAACGGCTTAAGTTAATTCTATCAAATCGGAAGACAGAAAGTGGAATCCTTTTTAGTAGCCACCACCTTTCACTTATGCATATCAGTGCCGTGTCAACGAGGCGAGAGGCCGTCTTGTCGTCGAAGTGTAGTGTGATGTGGGAACAAAATTTTAAGGAAAGCAAAATTTATCACCTAGGATTATGTGGAGAGGGAGAAATTTAAAAGTACGCAAAGTAAAAGATATGTATTTCAATTTTAATTTATTTTAGGGCGCCGCAGGATAGTGCATGGAATATGCGACATGAGCGCAGGTAACCTTACAAATTGTGCTCAAAAGACAAAAGCAGAGTGCTAAAAGAAACATCCAAGCGGGGTGGAGTGAAATGCCATAGCTGCACATCAATGATTGAGTAACCTACCGCAAGGTTGAAACTAGGCGCCTTGGACACCGCGATATGTGTTTGAACCCAAAGGGACTCCATAGTTGCCACCTAAAAGTCACCTCGAACCATCGAAACTAGCAAACATCAGCTGTTGTGGAAGCTGCAAAGGAGGGGTGGAAATGAAAGCGATAACTCACCGCATCTT